TCCCTCCCTCCCTTCCTTCCTTCCTTCCTTCCTTCCTTCCTTCCTTCCTTCCTTCCTTGTAGGAGTCTCACTCTGTAGCCCAGGCCCCAGGCTGGAGCCCAGTGGCATAATCACAGCTCCGGCAATCTTGACCTGCTGAGCTCAGGTGATTCTTCCACCTCAGCCTTCCAAGTAGCTGGAACCACGGGAACACACCACCATGCTCGGCTAATTTTTCTGATTTATTGTGGAGACTTGGTCTCACCAAGTTGCCCAGGATGGTCTTGAACCTCTGGGCTCAGGCAGTCCTCTCCCCTCGGACTCCCAGAGTGCTGGGATTACAGGCATGAGCCACCGCACCCATGTATGGCTCTGTTTTCATCTGGGCAGCTTCTCAGCAGCTCCCGCCTCTTCCTTCATCTGTCAACATCTTTTACCCCCTTGTCCCAAGCATGCTTTGGAGGAAAAAAATGGATGGTTCAGGACCTGAAGGGAACAGCTGTACAGTGTCCTTCCTCTTCCCCATCCCACTGGGACTAGAACTCAGTCCCTCCTTTTTCCTTGCAGCTTCCTGGCTTGGCACCGAGCCAGAGGAGCTTTCTGGGGATGCTTTTGGCCCTGAAACCCCAAATTGTGTGACATGACTGGATTAAGGAAATTAGGAGTCTTCTGGGACTTCAGCTGGGGGGCCCTTGAAGGGCTGGGGAAGGGCAGCCAAGAAGGGCAAGAGGCATAAGCAGCAATTTAGAGTGAGAGCCAAACTCTTAGAGGAGCAAGGGAGCAACGGAGTGGGGGAGGCATCTGGGATGAATGCCAAGGTCCAAGGCATTGCCAGAGATTCCTTTGTCAGGCAACCTGATCTGTTGGGTCTCACTGGCAAGAGGGAGAAGAATGTTACAGAGTACAGGGCCTGTGGGTGTTCAGGCCTGCAGCTTTCCCATCTGTCAAACCAGGAGTGTTATTCCAGCTCAGCTTTCTTCCTCAATCCCTGGTCTTGCAGGCCTGAACAGTGGTCAGTGGTGATGTAAAGCACTTGTGCTATTCTGCTGAACAGTGAATATGAAAACATGGGTTTCAAAAGCAAGATTAGCCTAGGTTTGAATTCCACCTCTAATACTTACTAGCTGTATGATTTTGGGTAAGTTGCTTAACTTCTCTGTGCTTAGTTGCTCATCTGTAAAAATAGCAATAATAGTACCTACTTCACAGGGTTGTTGTGATTTTTAAAAAATGTACACACATTTATTTATTTTTGAGTTGAAGTCTCACTCTGTCACTCAGGCTGGAATGCAGTGGCACACTCATATCCACCCCAGCGTCGACCTGTTGGGCTCAGGCTATCCTTCCACCTCAGCCTTCCAAGTAGCTGGAACTACAGGCATGCGCTACCACGCCCAGCTGACTTTTTATTTATTGTAGAGATGAGGTCCCACCGAATTGTCCAGGATTGGTCTTGACCCTGTGGGCTCAAGCAATCCACTTGCCTCAGCCTCCCAAAGTGCTGGGATTACAGGCTGAGCCTCTGAGTCCGGCCAGTTGTTGTGATTAAATGAGATAGAGTAAGTGTTCAGTAAAAGTAGCTATTGCTGCTATTGTAGTTTGTTCTTTTTTTTGTTGTTGTACTCACACTCTGTTGCCCAGGCTGGAGTACAGTGGCATGCTCACGGCCACTGCAGCTTTGACCTGCTAGGCCCAGGCAATCCTTCTGTCTCAGTCTTCCAAGTAGCTGGAACTACAGGCACATGCCACCATGCCCGGCTAACTTTTTGATTTATGTAGAGACAAGGTCTCACCATGTTGTTCAGGCTGGTCTCAAATCCCTGGGGTCAGGCAATCCTCCCACCTCAGCCTCCCAAGAATGCTGAGATTAAAGGCGTGAGACACTGTGCCTGACTTATTATTAATTATTTTTTGAGTTGGAGTCTCATTCTGTTGCCCAGACTGGAGTGCAGTGGCACGCTCCTGGCCACTGCAGCCTCAACCTGCAGGGCTCTGGCAATCCTTCCGCCTCAGCCTTCCAAGTAGCTGAAACTATAGGCGTGCACTACCACGCCCAGATAATTTTTGATTCATTGTAGAAATGAGGTCTTGCCAAGTTGCCTAGGCTGGTCTCGAACCCACGGGCTCAGGCAATCCACTCACCTTGAACTCCGAAAGTGCTTGGATTATAGCTGAGCCACCAAGTCTGGCCTATTTTTTAAATTATTATTTTTAATTTTTTAGAAAAAATTTTTAGAGGATAGGAGTGGTGGTTAATGCCTGTAATCCTAGCACTTTGGGAGGCCAAAGTGGAAGGATGACTTGAGGCCAGGAGTTCGAGGTTACAGTGAGCTATGATCATGCCACTACAGTCTAGCCTGGACAACAGAGTGAGACACTGCCTTAAAAAAAAGAAAGAAAAGAAAAGAAATAAAAAGGTGGTCTTTGTTCTTACAGCATATGGTCTAACAAAGTACCTTGTCTCTTCAGGAATGTTTAGATGCCCACTTTAATTCCTGGTACTCTGGTTAGAGTCAGCAAAAAGGCAGGAGCATGTCTTATTTATTAGGAATTGTGATTGGTGACGAATAAAAGAGGTCTTACTAAGACAGCTTACATAGGTTTATTCTTTCACATAAGAGAATTAAAGAGGAAGGCAGTCCAGGACTGATATGCTCTAGAAAGTTACAAAGGCTTTTCTTTTTCTATTTCTTTTTCTATATCCTTTATGCAGCTTCTATCTTCAAGGCCAAAAGACAGCTGCTGGCACTGTGGCTATCATATGAAATATCCAGAGTAGGCCGGGTGTAGTGGTTCATGCCTATAATCCCAGCACTTTGGGAGGCTGACGTGAGAGAATTGCCTGAGTCCATGGGGTCGAGATCAGCCTGGGCAACTTGGCAAGACCTCATCGCTACAATAAATCAAAAAATTAGCTGGGTGTGGTGGCACATGCCTGTAGTTCCAGCTACTT